TGGCAGTGAATGGCAAGCACTTTCTCTGAATAGACCTACTGGAGTGGCCCCTCTCTGTTTTGTTAGGAAGTATATTAAAAAGTAGAAACAGCATGCTGAATGAGGTAAGGGACTGAAACAAACTATGAAATATGCCATCAGGAAAGAAAAGGCACCTTATCCAACAAAATCTTGGTGCAACTCTAAATGGAAAAGTGACACTCATCAAAAGATTTCTATATCGTCTTCACTGAATAAATTACTTCTGGGTGAGATTCACTAACATCATTGCAGGGAAAGTGTAATTGAAAATTATAAAGCTGTATCTTCATTGTGTATTGCAGCACGTGCATTTGATACTGGGCTACGTCTGTCAGAGCCTTATGTGTTTCTCAGGGGAAGAAGAAAAATCTGTGGGCTGAATCTTCAGTGGATGCGAGCCAGTGTTACTCCATTCAAATCCTCGTGGGTGTACAAATGCCTGGCCCTATGACCGACGCCTCATGCTCTTGGTCATAATTGAGCCACATCACCAACTTGGCTTTGGAGAAAGCTGTGCATTAGCAACATGTAAATGAGGAACTTCAGGGTTGGCTCTTAACGAGCTACTCCAGTTCTACGGAGAAAGAGACGCTCCCCTTTAAGCATCCAAAAATCTCTCCTGGGAGGTTTCAGAAGGCATGCTTTCTAAAAGTATGATTTAAGTCATTATTGGCATTCATAAGTGTACGTGGCATTGTGCTGGTGGCCCTCAGTGCATCCTTGTCCTGAGGAAACTGCAACCTCAGGCTTTGCTCCTGCATTTGAGTCAATAGCCTGGACACTTCCAAGGGGATTCATAAAAGCAAAGGTTAGTGCCAAACTGTTCAAGAAGGCAGGTAGGCACACGAGTTATCCTCAGGTACTTTACTGTTCTCCAGTAGGAAGTGCGTGCACATGGAACCACTGCGGCTACTTCTCTGATCTTTTCTTTAGACGTGCATTTTTCGGTTGCCTGTACCGGGAGCCGTGGAGAGATGCTGTGCATTTTAGATTACACCTCAGTTGCTCAGTTGCGTTAATATATTGTACCATGTAATGAAAGAAAAACAAAAAGAAGTCATTTTTTGCAATGCTTTTTGAAGGTTTGCATAATGTGTCTGTGGTATTATTATTTATAGAAGGCCAACAGGTGCTTCGTTACAAGGTCCCCATCCATGATGATCTGGGACACTATCTAAGTGGGATGTCTAGTCATTAGAGCCAGAGGGCTGACAGCCAGGACTCCTCGTGGTTTATTTCTGGCTCCTGCAGTGACTCACTGTGCGACTGCATGCATTGCCACAAAATGAGATTCAGAAGGAGTTCTACCTTTGCATGGATAAATGTGTTCATCCTGCAACACCTGGAACGACTCGGTATGGAAATGGGACACTGTCCTGAAGAAGTGGCAGTGCAGCTGTGCAAATGGCCATTCACTGGCACAAAGCCTTGATATTTGTGTGTTCCCTGGGGAAAGTTTGCTACCATATATATATTTTGGTCAGGCAAGCAGACATTTTTAAGAGCAGCCGTTAAGCAAGTCTTTCCGTGTTTGAGCTGTACTCCTCCCTAACATACCGCCCAAATCTACACTTCAGTGTTTTGCTAGCTTTGCTATGGTAGTTAGGAAGGTGAAAAAAATCACCCCTCTTACTGACATGGGCATGGTAACAGAAAATCCCATGTAGGTGCTGCTTATGTGACACAATAAATCCTTTTGCCGGTATTTCAGTTGAGGAAGCAGTTCAACTATCCCTGCAAAGCAATTCTTATAAGCGGTGTCTTCACTAGGGGGCATTGCTGATACATAGCAAGGCCTTCATGCTCTCGTCTAGCCAACGACAGTAGGTATGTTAGTCTCTTCCAGGAGTTTTTGAGTCTTAGTCGATGTTTGTGCAGAGCTTTGGGATCTTTGGAAGAAAGGTAAAGTATTATTATTACTTTTAAAGAATCATTGACCTTTTTTTTTTTTTTAAATAATAAATGTTTGTCATGTACAAAGACTTTCCTTGTTGGCTCGGTGTCAGTCACAACTTCAGTCTTTATCATTAAACTATCAACATTTGCTAAGAGATAATGCACAGTCACTAGACGTATTTCTTATCCTTGCCATGTGGGTGAGGGTGATGCAGGAGGGGGGTTAACTCTTTCAGGGGAGCGTGCTGCAGGACTGGGGGCTTCAGTATTTCTCCATGGTAGCTACTGGCAAAGCGTGTCTTTTTCATTGGCAATCATTGCCTGTCACACAGGAAACTCTTTTCTCACATGTTTTCCTGTGACGCTTTTAATTCGTCACCACAACTGACTTCATAATTTTGTAGTTAAGGCATCGAATACTGAAGGCTTCCATTTTTTTACTTCCATTCTGCATTCTGTATTGCATTTCATACTCTACCCATTGGTCTAGTCTTGGTTCAACTGCAAGGTCCTTGGGACATGGACTTTCTTCATGGACTCGGCAAAGCGCTTTCCACAACATGCCACAACATCCATTGGGAATCTCTGGGCATTACTGTAATATAAATGACAATACTTGAAAGAGTTTGAGCGTTTTGCTTTTCTTTTAGATGTAACCGGTTTTGAAGTTTTCGGTACTGAATAATTTCTCACTGAGCATGTCTGCTCCTTAAAAACTTTCCAAGCAATTAAATGAGGTTTGATCAACAATGACAAATTGTTATTTGTCGAGACTCATGCAAAATGCCACCCCATCTCTATTCCAGCCCTTGAACTGTTAAAAACATCTCATAGGTGGTGTTTTTTTAAATGTAATACATTTTCAGATGCCATTAATAAATGTCCAGTGGATACGATTTTTTTTTTTAATTATTTTTTTTAATTTCCTTCATCTGATCTAGGTCTTTGATAAATACTACAGACAAACTGAGTGCTGTAGGATCAATCTTGACAGTTCTTCAATAAAAGGCTGTGTGGTTCTTCGTCAGTGTCTTCCTTTCAGTGACAGCTGCTTTGTTCTTTTTCAGTCAGATTTTCTAGTTAACACATCAAAAGTGTATCTGTGTACACGCAGTACTGAGAAAACAGTTCAAAGAGGCAGGAGATTCACTTTTAACTCTTCATTGCATCTTCCCTGCTCTTGTCACCGAAGATAGCTCATATAGAAAGCTCCAGCGAGAGGTGAGGAGTTCACTGAGGAGCACTGTGAAGTATAGCACATGTGGATTAGAGTTTTAAAACACAAATTGGTCAGTCAATCCACTTACCATCCCAAATTAGCTCTAAGCGATAAGAAGTTTTGAGTTTTCAGCAGCAAAGGCTCGCATTGGCGACAGATAAAGCTGTGCATTTGATCGAGTGCTGAAGTTTTGTCTGATGCCTCTTATTATAGTGCCAGTACTTTGGAACTAATTAAACTGATGGCGGTGTTCAGCTTAACCTGATTTCATTGAAAGGTTGCTTCAGTTTCCACGGCAAGGTAAATAGGCAGAAAATAAGTTTTGGAGCATCCCGTTTCCCTCCCTCGCCGCGGTGAAAACTTTCTTCTCTCTATTCTTTTTTTCTTTGTATTTTTTCTTGTTTTTATCAGTCATTCCACCAAGCAACTTAGAAGGCAGTTCATTAGCACGTGGCACTTCCGTGTAGCTTGGGAGAAACGACTAAATCCATGAAGTTCAGGTCCAGGAATGCGTGTGCTTATGTCGAAGCTAATTGAGGATCTCTCTCCAATACAGACTTGTATCTGCGCTGGAAGCAAGTGAAGGTAAACCCTGCTTCAAGTTGGGTTGGTCTAATAAAAGATATCAAATTCACCCAAGGAACCTTGTCTGCTTCAAGTTAGGCACGTGTGCTAGTGTCCTTCCTGGATTAGGCCTTGGGAAAGGGAATTGGTACTGCACGGTATCCATGCAAGTGTTCTCAATGGTCCATTCGTCTCTGTCCCCCGGTGCCACAGCATCTCATTTAACATTGCTGTAATTTGCAGCCTTATGTACACATCATCCCTCAGTCTCGAGTGATGCTTGGATAGGTGGATATAGTACATATACCTCAGCGGAGGCAGTGCTGACAAGTTTGCTGCTTGTGCGTGCTTGCTACAGCGGTGAATCGCTCTCAGCCTCTGCTGATGGCGCAGCTCTTCGAACCATGATGCAGCAGCAGTAGAGCAGTCTTTAAGGGGGATGTTAGGTCCACTCGGCTCTCTGGGCTGAATCCCATTTTGCTGGGGTTATTCTTACCACCACGTGAACTAGCGCAGTTAAATCAAGCTCATGTGCATGTATGCACGCTGCAATGCACCTCCAACAGCAGTGCAGACATAGCCTTAGTCTGCCTTAGTACCAGGCAACAGGAGGCTCTTTTTTTTTTTCCTCTCCTTATTCCCTTTGCTGATCATACTTCTTCCTCTCGGCAGTTTGTTGCACCCATTTGCTTGTGCAGCTAAGTTGCAATTCATTGTGAGCCAGAGGGTTTGTCAGAGGGTTTGTTCTGTTTTGCCCTTGGTTTCTTTTTCAGGACTTGTAGCCTTCCCGAACATGGGGCTGCTTGTGGGTCCTTGGTACTTAGCACAGAGCTAGCTAGGCATGTGAAAGACCTGGGTACACACCATGTGTTCACTGTCCCAAGGCAGGCTAAGCTCTTGTGGTTTGATTCCTGCTCGGGGTCCCAGGGGAGAAAGCTCTGCCAGTTATCTGGTCCTAAAGTTGCTAAGTTCCCAGTCCTTGGTATGCGATCTCTCAGCTTTTTCTCACAGCTTCTCTGTGCTTTATTGCTTTCTTTCTGTAACAGGAAACCACTGCCCCATTTACTATGGGAGGCTTGAGAGGATAGGAAAGTTGGGTTGCAAAAAAGGCAGTTGGAAATTAGTGCAGGTGCATCCAGCTTGGGACTGATGAGGCCAGGCAGTTAATGGAGCAATTAGCTGCACCTGGTGACTGGGGGTGGGTGGACTGGTCTGGGGATGGGAAGGAGACTACACTGAGGGATTCAAGCTGAGCAGGGAGCCATACTGGGGGAGCCTGGGCAGCTGGGAGAGGGGCTCTCGAGAGTGCAGGTGCTGCTGGAGACGAATGGGCATCCAAGCTGCCCAGGGAAGCTGGGAGGAAGGCTCCCGGGAAGGTAAGGTCTGTGAGTAGCATTTACCCAAGGAGGAAGACTGCTGTTTTTGTTTTGACGAGGCTTTGTGTTTTGGTTCAATTTGGACTTGTAACTGGAGGGCTGGATTGTAGCTCTAGGGGCAGAGGCAGCCATGAACCAGGGTGCTGGGGTGTGCCCCGTTACAGGGGCCAGGAGACAGCCCCGTGCTTTTTTTTTTTTACAGCAGAAAGTGGTATGCCCCGTGCTTTTTTTTTTTTACAGCAGAAAGGGGCAAATTGAGGCTGAACCCCAGGGCTGAGGTTTTAATCGGTGGACCAAGGTGGGGCACAGCCAGAGAGGAAAAAGGGGCCTAGTCTACAATAGCCAAAGCCCTGACAAGCCCTCAGAAACCTGTGAGAGCAAACCCTTAAATGGGGAGCGCTGTATGAGATGATGGGGTGACTGGCCTGATTGGATGGGCTGCTACTGGGCCAAGGAGTCCCCTCTTCCCTTTCACTCCCAACAAACAACATCAAAGTTGTGGTAGGTGATAAATGGGAGATACAGGGAGGCTGGGAAAAGGAGCAGGCAAGTAGGGTGGACCCTATCCTATATCATATTCTCCCCTGAGAGCCTCAGATGTGAAGCCAAGGGAGAGAAAGGAGAGATCCATGGTTTGTAGGTACTATAGGTCTGGTCCAGATACCGAGGTGTGCACCCAGAGGTGCATCTTCTTGGCAATGAGCTGAATCCTCAGCTGGCATGAATGACTGTATCTCCAATGAAGGTACCGCGAACCAGCCAGGAGTCTGGCACAGCAATTCAGTTAGGCAGGAATTGCAGATGAGATGAGTACGTAAGCAAGGAAAGGCCTGTGTGCAGGATTGAGCACAAAGCAGCAAGGACTTTAGCAGATTTTAGGGAAATGAGGACCAGGTAACAGCCATTTATTTATGCAAGAGGAAAATCAGACGCATTTGTTTAGGGAGAGTAAGAAGTGAAGAGCTCCGTCAGAAGAGATTGTTAGCATGTGGGTTCAGCTCTTCATCGGCCCGAGTCAGAAGCAGCAGAACCTGGAAACTACAGCTCCAGATTCTGGGGAGAAAGGAATCGGGAGTCGGATCATGCTACAAACATCAGCAGAGTTTCATCTGTACATGGTTTAAATACCATGTCATGGCTCCGGGGGAAGTGGGTGCTCCCCACTTTTCAGTTAGGGAGATTGAGGCCTAGAGAGTATAAGGGACTTGGCCAAGGTCATAGACTGACACAGTTGCAGGATCTGGAATAACTCCTCAGACCCCACTAATGGGAATTCTAGCTGGATTGCTCCATATTTTTCCATAATGAGGTTTCATCATCATCTAGGGGATCCTGAATGAGATCTCTCTGGTCGCAATGGCCTGTTCTGGCAGCCAAATCTGGGTGAGCTGAGTTCAGCTGTATGAAGTTTGATCTGCTTTGCATGTCACAGCCCCTCACATCCAGTGGAAATAATTCCTACAGTCTAGAAAACTTTGCAGGTCCAGAAGCATTTTCGACATGCTAGTGAACGAAGGGCAGGGGTCTGAATGTTTACAGTGGTATCTGATTTTTACACTTGGGCTCTACAAAGATGCAGAAGCTGATGTTGAGATTTGTCTCTAAAAGAAGAAGACAGAAGGTCCTAGCAGGGGGTTAACTTTGCAGTTGATATATGTATACAGGGGGTGTGCGTATCTCTTGCAGCTATAATGTTCCCTTCCTGTGGTCATAATAGAAGAGGTGTTTAAAAGGAGGATGAAAGTTTGGCAAGCTGGAATAGAGTAAATATATTCCAAGCAATGTGGAAAACTTGAAGTAATAGGTGGGGAAGAGAGATTCAAGCAGCACAGCTGACCAGGTCTGAATGACAACCTATGAAATTGCTTTTTCTGGGTGAATTTTGGCTAGGATGTAGGGAGCAATGCTACTATTGGTGAGAGCAAGAAATTGCAATAACAAAGCCAGGAGATAGTCGGGGCAGGGATGTGTGTTGAAGCTCTTGGGACCAAGAGGAATGGTTAGCTTTTTGAGAGTCTGAACTGTGAGAGATGTGGATAGATTTAGCTGGACGGTTTCTAGTGTAATGCTTTAAGAATGTATTCTGCTAACTGATCGGTAAGCACCGCTCCATGAGCGAACTGCTACGTTTTGTAGGTGCTAATGCACCGTGAACATTTTTTCTAAATTCAATCCTATAAAATGCACGGTGAGTTCAATTATGAGTGGAAAGATGGGCTTCAAACAGGCGGTACAAACAACCTTTCAGGTGAGAACGGCCCAACCTAAATTGTTGGTTACCCTTCTTTGCTCTTCCTCTCATGTGGTGTTTCTTTTCCAAATGGAAAGATCAATTTGTGGATGGCTGATGGAGACCGAGAGTTGCTGCTTGAAACAGAGCGGTAAATCTGCAAGACGGATAACTCCTTTAGCCTCTCCGTGCAATTGCCGTAGAGTAGTTAGAGTAGATAATACATCCTCTTCCTAGCAGATGGACTGAATAGCAGATGGGACCCGTGGAGGTGAATGAGTACATTGCAGTGACCTCTTACTGAAGCTGTTGTAGCAAGGAGTTGGTCTGCAGGAGTTGGGTCACAGCTGCCCCCCCTATAGATAGTGTGTTTGAAAGGTCTCCACGAGCCCATTCCTTGTTTCCCCTGCCCTGAAAATGCCTTGTCCATACTGAGAGGATCTCTGTAGAGCTGGCTATTGTGTGGGATACTGCACCTGCTCGGCAGGCTCCTTGCACCCTGCTCCCACAAGCAGTAGATCTGCACTGGTTTTGACCTGCTCAAAAATCCTCAGCACTAGCTCTTTCATAGCCAGATTGCTGGAAGCCTTCCTCCCATTGGAGAGAAGCTACAAGAGTAATCCCATTAGCTTCAGTGGGACTCCTTGCCTGACTTAGCACTCTCAAGGGTGAGTAAGAGCTCTGCAATTTAGCACTAACTTCTTATAGATTGTCAGTCAAGTAGAAAGGTGGCAGGAGGAGCGTATTTACCATTCTGCATTTATTTGTCAATATAAAAGCGTGCACTATCGGTGACCTCTGGCTTACGTTGCTTTATCATGTCAATATTTCATAGCATCATAAGGCTATTATACGGCTGACTAATGGGGATGGCTATTAGCAGTGTTGATGTAGTTTGAAAATAGCAATCCATATTTTATGGACCAGAAAGAGACCAAGCCTTTACCTTAGATCTTAGCAAGCGTAAAAAAAGGAGATAATGTAAATGAAATTTACCTTCTCATTTCCATCCTCCCACAATTAGTTCATAATTCACATATTGTTCAGCTGCTTTCATGCTTTGAATATACTTACGCACATTAAACTATCCTGGTGAAACCTCATCCCCTTCTAGCCTCAAAATAACAGGAGGCTCAGACATGTCCCCTTCCTCACTAGTAGAGCTCCATATTAAATCTCCCCTTTCCCCTTCTAGGGTGAGTCAGATTATTTTTTCAAGAGATTTACCGCGTGCAATAGTTCTCTGCAGCCGATCTCCACGCCCCGACACACCAGACAGCAGAGTCTCCGGCCATGTAGGGATGCAGGGCTGAGCTTTTTCCCCGCAAGAGCAAGATGTGGTTTCTGTGACAGCTGAGTCATGTACATCACACTTATATGTGCATTAATGTGCTTTAGTTAACATGCATTAAATATAGTACTAGATTTAGTAAATATAGTACTAGGGCAGTAAATATAGTACATTGTGAGGTGCTAGAAAAATGTGCATTGGCCTATTTTTATGCCCATTAACTAAAGAGCATGTTTTTTTTTTTTATTGGGTGCCTATAGATGTGCAGAGAGCCTGCTCTGATGCATTGTAATTGCAATGGGTTGGAGCAGACTCAATCAAGTCTGCTGGAGCGTGGTAATTACCGCACTCCAGCAGGCTCCGGGGTCATGTGTATCAGTGTTCCCGTGCTGAGAAATGGTGGCAGGGGCGCTTCAACCAAAGTTGGTTCAATGCGCTTTTGTTAAAATGCCCCCGCTGCCATTTGTCAGCGCAGGGATGCTGATACACATGATGCTCTGGGCACTTTTAATTAGAGTGGCTCTTGAAGGCACTCTAATTAAAGTGTCATCCCTCCCCACCTCCTGGAGCACATCAATAAATGCCCATCATGCAGGCGTGAATGAATTTGTGTTAAATGAAAGCTTTCCACGCTGAAGGAAAGCAGCAGCATGCCAGCTTCTGATCTGGCTAGCCTTACTGAGCCAATAACACTAGTTAAATAACATGGGATCTCTTGTCTTGGCTTATCCGCCACCTGTCTCGGGGCTTGAATCCTGGCCTCAGCGCACGGGCTGGAAAGCCAAGCTGTTCTCTGGAGAGCTCCTCTACTGGACATAATCTTCATCTCCTGGCCAAGAAATGACAGCATAGTATTTCCATGTCCACTTTCCTACCTACGGAGCTGCAGCTGACTCCTTTGCCCCTCGGCACATGAAGGAAATGCATGAAGAAGTGATCCCTCTCGTGGCAGATGAATTGTGCCTGCCCCAGTTAGGGCTGCAACCTATGCTAATGAGTTAGATCCTTATTCCCAACTCTTCGCTCCCCAACCTTGGAGCGTAGTGGAGCTAGTTTACAGAGGTAAAGAAAAGAAGTGGAACTGCAAATGAGCCTGCCATTGAGGAAGGTGTCGTCATGCACAGTTTTCATATGGGCCGATTTAAATATATTTTAATAGTTACCTAATGGAAAAGTGAGGAATTAAATATAATCTGTGTTAATTGGCTACCAGTTAATGCAATTATTTCACTTCATTATTCTTCATGCTCAAGGTAAATGTTCCCCTCTTGAAAACTGGGAAGCCATCTTCTATTTCCTCAGACTGAAAATCATCCTAGCGTAGATGGCCTGAACAAGACCCCGTGCATCACTTATGCACCGCTTTAAGCGTGTGTCATGGGGCTTAAGCTCTCTCACTCAGAGCGAACAATTGGAATAACACACCTGAACTCTGCTCCTTCAACAATTTGTGGCATATTATTAGTGCTTTATGAACTT